TCTATTCTTATTTATTTTCTATTCTGTTCTGTTCTATTCTATTCTTACTTATTTTCTATTCTATTCTTATTATTTTCTATTCTGTTCTATTCTATTCTTATTATTTTCTATAATATTCTATTCTATTTGATTCTAATTGCTCATTCTTACTGCTATGGTTTCTTTCCTCCAAGGAAAATAGGAGATATAGATGGCCATCACAAAAAAGGAATTAAAAAACCACCATCTCTGACCATCCCTGTTCTCTACTGCAGATTTCCCTTCGCCCCTTCCCCAAAGAATGCAAATCCCGAGTGCAAATCTAGATTTCTTAGAAGTACAGAACTGCATCTAGGGGAGGGAGAGGTTTCATACCGTCACATTTGAGGCCTTGGCGGACCAAACCGAAAAGCATCTCTCCACAGTGGTCGCAGAACGCCGGTGCCCGGTAGGAGTGGACATTGAGAGCATGCGGACGGATCTGGAAGTCCTCAAAGGTAGCCGAGGCTGCAGAAAAAGAGAGAGAGAGAGAGAAACTGAGGGGAAGAAGGAATATCTAAATAATTTTTCTTTCCTTTCCTTTCCCTATCCTTCCCTCTTTTATCTTCCTTTCTTTTCCTTCTCTTTCTTTCCCTACTTCCCTCTTTTATCTTCCTTTCCTTCTTTCCTTTCCTTTCTTTCCCTATCCTTTCTTTTTTTTTCTTTTCTTTTCTTTTCCTTTCCTTTCTTTTCATTCAAGAAGCAAAACCTTTTGGTTAAGTTAGTGAGCCTCTGAATTTTGCTGATCTCCAAATCTCAAACCAAGCCCTTTAAGTGGGTTTTTAGCTAGCAGAAGACAAGATAAGATAAGTAGCTGCCTTATTTTATCTATCTATCTACTTGTACATATTGTTTAATTTAGCTATTCTGGTGGAAATGATCGGCTCTATAAACTAACAAGAAGAGGCTGGATTCACACAGCCTGCAAAGAAAGATTTTTTTAAAAAAAAATGTACACCAAATTAAAAACAACCAAGCTTAGCTGCTGATGCATTTACCTGATTGCTAAACTTGCTTTTAATTTGGGGAAGTTGAGAAGAGGAGGAGGAGGAGGAGAGGAAGAGCAGGAGAAAGGAAAAGATAAGGACTGTGGGGTCCTTGGCGCTCCCTAAGCTTGGTGATTTTCTTACAGACGTTTCATGACCCAGCTAGGTAACATCATCAGTTCACTGCCTTCTCTAACCGAGGCACTTTACCTGAGAGAACCACCTCTACCAAGTCACCCTCCTGAATGTCAGAGGCGGCTCGAACCAGTTGTAAAATATTGGTTGTTGAAGCGTCATGTTTGAACAGCAGGATTTTATCGTAGAGGCCATAAAACCCGCACTCAGGAAACTGCAAAAGAGAAAAACCAGATAAGCAGTGCAGGAAAAACACCGTGCAAAGATGAGAATTTTGGTACCAGGGAAAGGCAGATGCATGGCTCTAATGGCTCGAGGTTTGGGGATAACACAGCCTTGCGCCCTCTTGGCTGTACAGGTCAGTTCTCATTGAGCAACTACAATCGGCAACTCGGTCGCTAAATGAAGCGGTCGCTAAGGGAAGCCGCAACTGTGCCTACGAAGAAACTTCAGGGTTCTTTCCCGTTATGAACCTGTGAAGATTGTAAATGAGGCAGTGGCTAAACCAGGACTACCCTGTTTCCCTGAAAATAAGACCCAACTGGAAAATAAGCCCTAGCATGATTTTTCAGGATGCTCATAATAAATAAGCCCCAGTTAAGATTGGCAGCCAGACGGATGCACTTAGACCCGTATTTCCCCCCAAATAAGACCCAACTGGAAAATAAGCCCTAAGCATTTTTCAGGAGGCTCGTAATATAAACCCTATTCTGAAAATAAGCCCCAGTTAAGATTGTCAGCTAGATGGATGCATTTAGTACCGTATTTCCCCCCAAAATAAGACCTAACCAGAAAGTAAGCCCTAATGCATCTTTTGGAGCAAAAATTAATATAAGACCTGGTCTTATTTTCGGGGAAATATGGTAGATAAGGAGATTCCTGCTGGACCCCCAAACCTTTTCGGGGAACACTCTCAGTATACATAAAAGAAAGATACATTCGTTAAGAATCAAGAATCATCAGGTACAACACTTAATGATAGTCATAGGGTACAATAAGAATAGAATAAGAATGGAATAGAATTCTTTTATTGGCCAAGTGTGATTGGACACACAAGGAATTTGTCTTGGTGCAAATGTACATAAAAGAAAAGGTACATTCATCAAGACTCAAGAATCATCAGGTTCAACACTTAATAATAGTCATAGGGTATAATAAGCAATCAAATCCTACTAGGAAACAGTCAATATAAATCGTAAGGATGCAAGCGACAAAGTTACAGTCCTACAGTCACAAGTGGGAGGGGATGGGTGATAAGGAGGGATGAGAAGATTAACAGTAATAGTAGTGCAGACTTTGTAAATAGTTGGACAGTATTGAGGGAATTATTTGTTTAGCAGAGCGATGGCGTTTGGGGGAAAAGCTGTCCTTGTGTCTGGTTGTTCTGGTGTGCAGGGCTCTGTAGCGTCGTTTTAAGGGAAGGAGTTGAAACAGTTTATGTCCGGGGTGTGAGGGGTCTGTAGATATTTTCCCAGCCCTCTTTTTGACTGGTGCAGCATGCAGGTCCTCCATGGAAGGCAGGTGGGCAGTAATTGTTTTTTTTCTGAGGTCCTAATTATCCTCTGGAGTCTGTGTCTGTCCTGTTGGGTCGCAGAACCAAACCAGACAGTTATAGAGGTGCAGATGACAGACTCAATCATTCCTCTGTAGAACTGGATCAGCAGCTCCTTGGGCTGTTTGAGCTTCCTGAGTTGGCGCAGAAAGAACTTTCTTTGTTGTGCTTTTGTGATGACGTTTTGGATGTTAGGTGTCCATTTTAGGTCTATTCTAATTCTACACAATCTACATAATTCTACATAATCAAAATATAATTCTACATATTCAAAATATCAAACTATCAAAACATAATCAAAATAATCTAAGTATTATTTTGACAGGCCTGTCAAAATAATCCATATTTATCAGGTAGGACCAGTGGGTCTGTGTAGGTCAGAGATGGGCAGTTATGGCCCTTTGGCATCCTGTGAACTACAACTCCCAGAATTTCTCAGCCAAGCATGAGTGGCTCAGGCATTCTGGGAATTGAAGTCCACAGGTTACCATACAGCAGAGGTCTCCAACCTTGACCACTTGACTTGTGGACTTCAACTCCCAGAATTCCTCAGCCAGCAGAGCTTTTTTCTCTCTCTCTCTCTCTCCCTCCACTTTTTTTCTCTCTCTCCCTCTCTTTTTCTCTCTCCCTCCCTCCCTTTCTCTCTCTCCCTTTTTTCTCTTCCTCCCCCTTTCTCTCTCCCTCCCTAACTCTCCTTATTTCTCTTTCTCTCCCCCTCCCTCCTTTTTCTCTCCCTCTTTTTTCTCTCTCTCCCTCCCCTCTCTCCCTCCCTCTTTATCTCTCTTTCCCTCTCCCTCCCTCCTTCTCTCTCTCCCTTTTTTCTCTTCCTCCCACCCTTTCTCTCTCCTTCCTCCTTCTCCTTTTTGTCTTCTCCCTCCCTCCCTCTCTCTCCCTAACTTTCTCTTTCTTTCTCCCTCCCTCCCTCCCTCCCTCCCTCTCTCTCTCTCTCCCTCTTTTTTCTCTTCCTCCTTCCCTCCCTTTCTCTCTCCCTCCCCCCCACCTCCTCTCTCTCTGCATCCCACCTTTGCAAAAAACCCCAAAAGGCAGGTGACCCTTTGTGGCGCTGCCAACTCGGCACATATTTTGCACCGAGGCTTTTCAAAAATGCAGGCCAACAACCTTGGGGCTGGGGGCGGGGTGGGGGGGAGGTGAACTCGAATCTGGAGGGTTCCAGGGACGGCAGGGAAGTAGCAGCTCCGCATGGCAGGCAGGCAGGTGGAGGCCGAGGGCTGCACAGGAAGCAGGCGGGTTCCAGGCAGGTAGGCAGGCAGGCGAGGCGAGGCGAGGCAGCCATGCGAGGCATCCTGGCACGGACAGTTATGCAAATCTCGGCTGTGATTTGTGAAGGGCTGGTCCAACTGATTTCTGAGATTCCTTTGCAGGACAGGCTGGCTTTCAAACGCTCTTTCGTGTCCTTTTCCTTCCTTCCTTCCTTTTCTGTCATGCTTTTCTGGCATGCTTGCTTTTCCTTCTTTCTTTCATTCCTTTCTTTTTTTTCCCCTTGCTTTCCCTTCCTTCCTTTTCTCTTTTCTTTCTGTTCCTTCCTTCCTTCTTTTTTCTTTTCTTTCCTTTCCTTCTTTCTTTTACTCCTTTCTTTCTTTTTTCTTTTTCTTTCCTTCTTCCCTTCCTTCCTTCTTTCCATCTTTCCCTCCTTCCTTCCTTCTTTCCTTCTCTAAACACTTTAACCCTGAGATCCAAATCCACCCCGCCTCTTAAGGGTTAAGAGGGTGAAGGTCATTGCCCCTCAGAGGATCCTGGGTTGCCCTCTCCCCTCTTTGGAAGAGCTTTATAGTTCCTGCTGCCTTAAGAAAGTTCAAAACATCCTCCAAGATCCATCCTCATCCTGGGAAACTACAGCCCCCTTTTTTTAATTAACTATTACCATCTGGTAGTTTGGATCTCAGGGTTTAGGTGTTTAGAGAAGGAAGGAAGGAAAGAAAGAAAGGAGTAAAAGAAAGAAGGAAAGAAAAGATGGCAGAGGGCAATAATAAAAATGAGGACAAATAGGCTGAAAAAAAGCTTCTATCTCAGGGCAGTAACTCTATTTTATTCTACTGTATCGTGCAATATTGATGCAATATCAGGGGTTTTCCATTCAAGGCATATAGTGTGAAGGATGCGTGTTTGTGTTTATTTCCATGGTCGCAATGTACACTAAAGATGGCATTGAATTTTGCTGTACGAGGTGCAACGACAATAAAAGTAAACTCAACTAAACTCTTGAAAATGCCACAACTTCTCAGCTGGATGGTGGCGGGGGGGGAGAATTAGATTCAGGCTCCCCTATCCTATTGCACACACAAACACACACACACACCGCTCCCCTGCACTGCCCAGCATTCAAACCTGGGTTCCAAAAAACCCACACCAACTTATAAAACCGAGAATAAACTTAAGGGCAGATCAGTCCAGGCTGAGTTATAGGGTCGGGGGTGTGTGTGTGTGTGTGAAAATGCCAGTGACTCACCCAGCTGGCACCAGCTCGGCTGGACTGTAAGGAGGGAGCAGACTGGGAAAAAGACCAAGACGTTGCACAAATCCCAGTCGTTTTTGTGTGGGGGAGGGGGGGGCTGTCCCTTCCGATTGTGGGATCGCATTAGGGCTGGAGGGGGAGGGCAGCCAGACCCCTGCCTGCCTGCTCCCCCCCCCCCACTCCGTCCTACAGGGCTATTTTGGTCTTTAGAGGGGCGATATGGAGCCAGGGATTCCCCATAGTTGTAGTTCTGCCAGAAGTAAGAAACAACAACACAACAACAACAAACAAAATGGAGGCTTTCCCATCCGGTTCTGTGTTTCCAAAGGCAACAGCTGGCTGGCAGATGTGCAGCCAGGGGAAGCACCAAGAACACGGGCGGGCGTTGGTGGGTCCTCTGCCTTGAGGATCGGGCGTTTCCAAGGTAGACTGCCTCTGAATGTGGAGGATCGGTGGCATTAAGCGGGGGCGGGGGGGGGGGGGGGGCTTCTCTCCCCAAGCAAGGTTGGAAGCTTGCCCTTTGCAAAGCAGCCGGCAGAGTTTGGACTTTTAAGGACGCGTTTCTCAAATTTGGTCACTTTAAGAGAGGTGGACTTGAAGTCCGCCTCTCTTAAAGTGCTTTCCCGTTTTTTTCAGAACTCAGATTATTTGCACCTCCTCAATCCACACCTAAGAAGGGCCTTTATATCAAACTAATCCATTCACACCAAAGGCACTTAAGTCTAAAATTAAAAACAGGGTGAAATAAAGAGAATTCACCCGCTTTACGGGCTATCACGAAAACAGGAACAGGCCTAGTTTTCCACAGAAGCAAATCCCCCCAAAATAAAACCTACTTTTTATTCGTAACACGCAGGACCTGGTCCCGCTTTATCTAAACTTTTAGCGTATTGTGCCACAGTGGGTACCCGGTTCACATTTAGGGGGGCTGGACTAGAAGACCTCCGAGGTCCCTTCCAATTCTGTTACCCTAGTTATTTTCAACCGGAGATTAGATTCCGCATCTTGGAGTGGTGGCCCTAGGGGTGGAATTCTCGCCTCGCAATCAGGAAGCTGTGAGTTCAGTTCTAGTTAGAGGCAAATATTTCTCTCTCTGGGCACACTGATGAGAATATATCTGTTGAATATGACTCCACACTGGTGACAGGAAGGGCATCCAGCCAGAAAATACTCCGCTCCGTTCAGTTGC